CAGAGAGACAGAAAGCGAGAAATCACCCCCCAGGGGGGATGGTCACGCCGCAATCCCTTCTCCTCCATTCTCCTCTCGGGATCTCGGGCACGCACATACACGTACCCGGCGTGAGTTTAAGCCACCAGATCCGGGACTCGAACCGCATCCAGCTACATGGGAGTTCAGCGACATAACTATTACGCTAACTGCTGGTCCTGCACATGGTATACTATTAATGGTCAGCACCTGACGAGGCCCATGGAGGAAGGACATGAGAAATGGCTGCCTGGTGGCCCAGAGAACTTAATGAGCCACCCTCAGTGCCTAACAGATAGTCAGCAGCTCAGTAGGGCATGGGGGAGGAAGGCATCCAGGCTTCGAAGGGGCTGGAAGCAAGGCTAAATGAGGCGTGCAGATAAACACTCACCCCCTTGCCCAGGGGAGTCACTGACTGAGCTAGGTGCATAATAAAGAATGCCAATTTCATTTATCTTCCTGTCTATGTCCTGCCTAGAGGGAGGATGAGCAGATTAAAAAGCATACTGCATTTATGGGCTGGTTTAATCTTAGCATTTGTGGTTCAGAGTTATAACCCCTCTCTCCACAGGAGGAATCTGTACCCAAGTCAAGTTCTTGGGTCCTTGTGTGCCTGTGTCATTCTTTATGACAGTAACCATAGGCTTTGGCCAAGTGGTGTAGGGATCATGGTTAAATTCAAAGTTATGACTTAATGTAAGAATAGGCTGGTTCATAGTCCTTCTGGTCCTGACCCTGGTTAGCTCTCTCAGAAAGAGTGAGTCACTGGGCAAGAGGGAGCCCAGGTTCTCTATCCGAGGATGGTATTTCCTTGCTAGAGTTTGAATGTGTTCTCTCTGCTATTCCTATGTTAAAATATAATGGCCAACAATAGTATTTATTGGTAAGGACTTTGAGAGATAATTAGGTCATGAAGGATCCTCTCTTGTGAAAGGAATTAGGTGCCCTATAAAGGGTTTGGCAGGGGAAGTTCCTTCCTTTTGCCCTTTGATGTCTGCCGCATGAGGACGCAGCATCGCTTCCCTCTGAAATACAGATTCAAAGCACCATTTTGAAACAGCAACTGGACCATCATCAGACAACGAACCTGCTAGGGCTTTGATTTTGGACTCCTCAGACTATAACATTATGAGAAAATAAATTTCTGTTCCTTATAAATTACCCAATATCTTGCACTCTGTTACAGAAACACAGACTAAGTTCCTCAAATGTATTTTCTTAAATGCTCATTCTATTGGCCATTAATAGTCATTCCTAGGGAAAAAAAATGGTTTTACAGCTAATGTTAGATTAAAAGCAAGTTGTGGAGCCAGCAGGTGGTGTAGTGGTTATGTTGCTGGACTCCCACATGGCCAAACATGGTTTGAGTCTCAGACCTGGTGGCTTGAAATCATGCCAGGTGCATGTGCATACATGCCCAAGATCCCATGAGGAGACTGGAAGAGAAGGGATTGCACCATGGCCATCACCCCAGGGGGTGATTTCTCATTTTCCCTCTCACTGTCTCTGTCTCTTTCTTTCTCTGGTGAGTGCACATGCCCTATATGTACAACTTATATTGTTAATGCAGTCAGCCCTCCGTATCTGTGGGTTTAAGGTCCATGGATTCTACCAACTGTGGGACAAAAACATTCAGGGGGAAAAAATAATGTAACTAGGGGGCTAGCTAGTATCATGGTGGTTAAGTTAGCTGGATCCCACATAGCTGACTGTGTGGTCTGAGTCCTGGACCTGATGGCTTGAGAAACATGACAGATGTGCATGTGTGTGTGAGCCTAGAATCTTGAAAGGAGTAATGGAGGTGAAGGGATTGTGACATGACCATCCCCCGTGGCGTGTGCTCTCTCTCTTTTCCCCATATTTCCCCTCTGTCTCTCTCTGGCAAGTGTATACACCCTCTGGCAAATTGAAAAAACATAAAAATAGACTTTAAAAATGATTATATAAATAAAAATATAGTATAACTACTATTTACATAGCATTTTTATTGTATTAGGTATTATAAGTAATCTGGAGATGATTGAAAGTATATAGGAGGATATATGTAAGTTATACACAAATTTTGCAGCATTTTATGTAAGGAACTTAAATATCCTTGGATTTTGCTACATGCAGAGGGATCTGGAACTAATTCCCCTGTCGGTAGATACCAAGGGACAACTAACTGTACAGGACTTCTCAGCATCTTTAAACTATTGCCCCCATTTTGTGAATTGGGGCACTCACCAAAATACAAAACAATGAGACAACTGACCTCGGGTCAGTGGAAAGGAGAGACAGACTTATACAGAGAGAAGGCTGTTTGAGAAAGCATGAGGCAGACACATATGAGAAAGCCATAATAGCACTGTCTGCCTTCCTTGGCCCATAAAAACATGTTGAGAAATGTACCCTGGAATTTGGGGCTCTGTCTTCTAGGGCTTTGAAGACATTGTTAGACCTCAAGAGTTATGGGAAATACAAAGATAGGGGAATGTTTGCAAGAAACCATCATAAGGCCAGGAAGTACTGTCACTGTGTAAAATTGCATGATGAGAATAGGTGGGAACGTTAGGGTGGGGTGTGGGGAGCATCAGGCATTCCCCAGGCAATAACCTTGTGAAAGACATTCTCTATCAGGCTTCAGTGTCCTCATTTGTGAGCAGCAGAGGCTGGACTTTACTTTTAACTCCAGACCAAATTGCATGGCACACAGCGATGCCATATGTTTTATTCGCCCAGAGTTAGTTCTTGCATGAAAGGGAATGCCTGCCCTCCGCTGCCATCCTCCTTCTCATTCATGGAAGTAAACTTTGAGCCGCGCACATGGTAGCCCAGCTAGACAGCATGTTCCCCAGCTTCTCTTGGGTCTTGGTGTCACTGTGTGATTAAGTTCAGACTAACAAGATGTGAGGGAAAATGAGATATGTCTTTTCCAATGTGGGTCTTCTATCTGGACATATGAGTGTGCCCTGGCCTCTCTCCTCCCCTGGCTGGGAGCTGGGGACTTGGAGCTGCTATCTTGGGCTCATGGGTGGGAGCCACCAGTTGAGGATGATAGAGCCACCTGCCATCCCTACGATCACCTGCTTACTAAGGAGAGAAATAAACTTTATCTTATTTAAGCCCTTATAGTTTGGAGTATCTTTATGATACAGTTTAGATTGCCGTCATAAGTGAAACCCCTTGTAGGACAAAACTGACCCCCAGGGTCATTTGGTTAGGTCACTCTGCCTTTTTTTGTTGTTGTTGTTTATTTGATCTCACTCCTTAGTCTAGCTAAATCCTCAGACCGGCCTGAGATCAGTACAAGGGTAGCAAGATCTCCAGTAGGTTCCTGGGAAAGGAAGATACTAAGAGCCAGAACATCTACACAAGTAGAAAGAGTCAAGGCTGTCCACGGTGGGTGATAAAATTCTCCTTTCAGCTTTGTTGGGCTTTCAGAAGCCATGCAATTTTGGCTCATGTTTAGAGAAGCAGACATGGGGACAGAGCCCAGAGAGAGAGTGTCAGGCCAGCGGGAGCCTTACCTGCTCAGCCGCGGTCACAGTGTAGGCATGCTGGCACACCAGCCCATTCTCCATCGTCTGGGCCCCATCCATCGGCTTCAGAGCAGAAAAAAAGGCCAAGCATTAAACATTCCTTGCTCTTCAAAGAGATGGAAAAGCTTAGTTTAAACAGCAGCTAAGCCATCTGGCCCCCACTGACTCACTTGGGAGGCCTATGTGTCAGAAGCAATTTCCTAGAGAGTCAGGGTTGGAAGGCTGCAGGGAGGTAAAGGTTCCAGGTATTTCATGCCTCAGGAGACCCCCCCCCCCCTT